CCCACACGGGCAAGCCCCGCCCCCCAGCGCCCGCGACCTTCCCTTCTCCGTCCACTCCGGGCCTTTCTCCAATAACTGAGGAGGACGGCTCCCTGGGCACCGCCTCTTCCGCCCGCGGTGACCGGAAGTGGGACGGGAGCGCCGGAAGTTGAAAGGAGTTTCCCGCGACCTCGGCTTCCTCAACATGGCAGCACCCTTGTCAGTGGAGGTGGAGTTCGGGTGAGTCCCAGAGTCGGGGGCGCCGTGGGGAAGGATGGACGTCTTCGGGTCCGGAACTCCTCTCCCCCTGCCTCGGGGCCTCTCACCGCCGACTCTCCGAGGTCCCCGGCGCCCTTCTTTGGGCGACGCCATCCGCCTCGGAGGGTCTGAGGGGCTCGGTCTCCTTTGGCGAGGGGCCCGTAAGTCCGCGGAGAGAGGCGTCGGCACACTCCTCGGTGCCCGGCGCCCCGCGGGACTCCGAGGGCGTGGTGGTTAGCAGGCGGCCTCCCCCGCTTCCTCGCCTGCCCCGTTTTGGACCAGGCCCAGGCCCAGGCCCGCGTGTCTGGGGCCTGGCCTCCTAGAAGCGAGAAGGACCGCCCTTCACCCCTGCACGCTTTCCTTCTGGCAGCCAGTCCACGCACGCGGTTCTTGAAGCCTTGATTCTCGTGCGATGTGTGGCCAAGACGGGACTCCTTTCTTCTCTTTCGCAAGATTTGGGGGTGTTCAGCAGAATCTGACTGAGCCCCTTGTCAGGACGTTCAGTGAATCCGCTGAGTGCCTTCGCAGCCCAGGTGGAGGCTCGGGGATGAGACAGCACAGTGGAGGCGGCGGGCCCTGACAGTGCGGTGCGCCCAGCCGAAAGTGCAGGGACTGGAGCGCACGAACCAGCCCCCGGAGAAACACAGACTGGGGAGGAGGGCTCCTCGAGCCCCTGTTTTCTGTCCCCTACATATGATTTCAGAGCTGAGAGAAACGGCCAGAGCTTAGCAGGAAAAGAAACTGAGACCCTAAGAGATGGGTGGTGTAATTCCCAGAGTCCTGTGGAAGCTGAGTCTGTGCGTGCGTGCGTGCGTGCGTGCGTAGATCAACAAGCCAAGGCGTATGTGAAAGGAGACGTCTGGAATGGAATCCAAAACCTCTGTCCCTAAATGCCTTCCCTTACATTGGACGCCCCCAGCTTCCTTCATGCTCTCCTTTCTTTGGGTAGTTTACTCACTAGTCATTTACTGAGTGCCTACCATGTGCCAGGCAGTGAGCCAGACACTGAGGATACAAAGATAAATAGAACTCTGTCCATGTTCGCCAGTGTGCAGCGTTTCTGCCCCTTAGAAGGAGGCAGTCTCATGAATGTTAAGTGCGTTTTGGTTGATGACATCGTCTAGCCCCTTGGGTCTAATGAGAACCACACTGGTTTGGACTCCTGACTGTTTTGCTTCACTGACCCTTCGCCCAGCCATGGCCCCCGTAGCCTGGAGGTTCTAGGAGGGTCCCTACGGCTTTGATAGGCCACAGCAGAGCTGAACACGGAAACCCGGCAGACTACCAGTGTTAAGGTTTATCTACAGCCAGCTTAACCCTTCAGTCTCACTGAGTCAGACACGATATTTGTTCATCAGAAATGTCTTCTGTCTGCCAGCAGTAGGGAATTCATGTGAGGAAGATAATGGTCCTTGCCCTGCAGAGCTTACAGACGAGCTTAATGACCCTTTTTCTGGCCTGACCATCTCTAGCCTCAGCCTTCCTTACCCTCAAGAGCAACAGTGAGTCCCAGCAAGGCAGGACAACATTTCTCCATCCATTTACCCACCTAACACCTCCCTCCATCCACCACCACAGTGTCCCATGAGGATCACAGCTTCTCAGGAAAGCAAGAATGCCCAATGTGCATGCCAAACCCACATACCGTCTCTCTCTGTTCTTGTCTCCATGCATGTTTTTCTCCCTGGCCTTTCTTTCCTACATCTCTCAGCAGACTCCCTTCACCCTTCACTCTGAACCTGAACACATCTGCAAAGAAGCTGCCTTGCCCATCCTCTCCCTTTGTCCCCGAGCGCCACCCTGATCCTTGAAGAGTCTGGGTGAGGACTTGGCCTCTTCCCCCTGAGTGACGTCCTCTCAGCCCCGCCAGCTCTGATAGACTCTCCAAAAGACCACTTGCACCTTTCTCACTCTTGTCAGTGACCAGTCCTGCCATCCTTTGTCTTGCCTCCTGAATTCTCTTTAGCAGAGCATTTTCCCAGGTCACACAGGATTCAGAGTATGCAGTACAGGTGTGTTTTATTCCTGCAGTGCAGATGTGTGGGTCCCTCCTTCTCCTTGAGCCTGGGAGATACTGGCAAAAGGAGGAAATGCCACTGAATTTAGAGAAGTGGGAGAAATGGGCATTTTCACTCACGGCACGTTGAGTGCCTACTGTGTGTGTATCAGACCTTGTATTAGGCAGCTTGCTTTCCAACAGTAGAGGGCAAATAAACAAAAGTAAAAAACATATAAGATACAAGATGATAAACTAGAAAAAGTGAAGGCAATTTTGGGAATGTCTATACCAGTCACTTGTACCAAGAAACACTCCTACCAATAATTGGGGAGTGGAGTGAAGGTGAGGTGTCTTAAGATGTAATTCCTTAATTGACTCTGAAGAGCCAGCTCTGTCAGACATAAAGGAGTCTGGCTTTGGTTCTCTTCTGGGGCCAAAATATGTCTCTTGCTTGCCTCTCTGCATCACTCAAGAGGCCGGACATACGCCTTACTCCCCTCTAGATGTGCTGACAGCAGAAACCCCTCTTTTGGTGAGCTACTGAGCCCAGTGGTGACAGGTCACTCTCTGGTCCTCCCTTCATCCATTTGTAAAGGGACAAGCAGCCTCAGCCCCTGAGCCTGGCACCACCAGGTTTGGCTGTTCTTGGTTGTTCGCCTGGGCTCCAGTGCCTCCTGCTCCCACCCGTTTTCTCTGACCCCCAATTCCTGAGCCCCTTGCCTGTGGCCCTCCCCCACCCCAGCTGCTGCATGTGCCAACCCCCCACCCAGGAGAGAACGGGGCTCTTGGAAGGGGATAAATGGAGGCTCTGTGCAGGCTCGCAGCTGACATGGCCCCGCGCGAGGCCACAGATGGGCCCCCTCTCCCCCTCTACATTTCTGCATCAACAAAGCGTGACCTTGTTTGGATGACAGTCGCCCCATGTTTTCCCCACGACAATGCTTGCCTTGCCTTTGCCTCCCTGTGGGATGTCTCAGGACATCTCTGTTCTCTGAGATTGGGAAAGGGTGGTGGGGTAGGAGGCCTCACATCCGTCAAAGGTCTGTTGAGGCCTTCTCAGTTAAGATCCACATGAAGTCTATGATGGAGTCAGGAGACCCAGAGGGAGAGGCAGTGCAGGGCCCTGAAAGAGCCCTGGTGTCAGCATCATAAGCTCTGGCCCCTGGACTTGTCTCCAAGCATCTCTGCTGAGCCAGTCTTCCCTTGTCCGGGTGCTGGCACACAAGTGAACCAAACTCTGCTCTTAAGGGGCTTTCTGACCTTTGGGGAGTCTTGGTTTTTCCCTCTAAGTCTGCTGGGGATAAGCAGAAACCAGTTAGAATTCAAAGCCTCATTCAGCTACTGCCTCTGTGACCTTAGACAAATGGTTCAACCTCTTCAGTCCTCTGCTTCCCCCTCAGGTGGAGTTAATGATACCTGCCTTCCCCCTACTTCCTGAGGATGAAATGAGATGAAGAATGGTCTTGTAAATCACTAAACCTGGTGGGATCTCTTACCCTCCAGCACTGTGGTGTCCCCACCAGGCCAGCAGTAGTTGGCACAGCTGGGACATTCCAAACCCTCACCTGGCCAGAGGAAACCCCTCAACACATACAGAGTCCATTGTGACTCATGGTGGCTTCTCAGCACTTTGTAGATGGAAAGACTAAGGCTTGAGAGCATGGAGTCACATGCCCGAGGTCTGGGTGTCAGGCAGAGGTGGAGGCTGGTCTCCATCTCGAGGCTAACAGCATCAAACCTGAACCTGGATGCTGAGCTGCCTCAAGAAAGCAGAGGAGTGTCCAGCCGGGCGTGCCTCAGCAGTTGAGCATTGACCTAGGATCCAGGCGATCAGGGTTCAATTCCCAGTCCAGGCACATGCCTGGGTTGCAAGCTCAATCCCCAGTTGGAGGCGTGCAGGAGGCTCAGGAGGATCAATGACTCTCTCGTCATTGATGTTTCTATCTCTCTCCCTTTCCTTTCCTCTCTCTGAAATCAATAAAGATATATTTTAAAAAAAGAAAAGAAAAGAAAGCAGAGGAGTAAAAACAGTCTGCAAATTTGGTTACTCAATTATTGGTCAAAATGATTTACATCCTACTTGACCACATCAGAAAGCCACATTTGAGAATCAGTCACTGGTACCCAAGGAGTTCCTGAACCTTGGACCTCTGCATCTCTTGGCCTTCTCGTGCCTGCCCCCTCAGTTTTCAGTCTCAGCAAGGTACTTGCAGGAGCTTACCTGGCTGTCTTTCTCTGGCCCTCCTTTGCAGAGGTGGCGCGGAGCTCCTGTTTGATGGTGTGAAGAAGCATCAGGTCACCTTGCCTGGACAGGAGGAGCCCTGTGAGTATGGGCTGTCTGAGCCCCTCTCGGATACACTGGGCAGGAGTCTGCAGGGGTCACTGAACCCCGTTCAAGTGGGAATGGGTCAGATTTCCTGGCCAGAGGGAGGGAGGGAGGAACAGAGATCACCAGAGCACCCTCCCCGCATCCTCTCTGAGACCTGCCAGCATTGCAGGAGGGTGGTGGTGTAGTACTTTTGTCTTTGTGAATGCAGGTTCTGTATTCAGACAGACTAGGTGTGAGTCCCCTTAGGACCTTAGGCCAGTGACCTCACCTCCCTTAGCTTTAGTGTTCTTATCTGTGAAGTGGGCATGGTGATCCCTATCTCTCAGGGTTGATAACAGGAGCATCTCTATTAATTTAGTTTTTTAAATATTTTCATTTATTGGTTTTAGAGAAAGGAAGGGAGAGAGAGAAACATCAATTTGATGTTCCGCTTACGCATTCATTGGTTGCTTCTTGTGTGTGCCCTGACTGGGGATTGAACCCTCAACCTTGGCGTATCGGAATGACGCTCTAACCAACTGACCTACCCAGCCAGGGCTAGAGGAGTATCTCTTTTGTTGTTACATGGCAGCAGAGATGTTCTCATGAAGGTGTTAACCTTCGCGGAGAAGGGAGCAATGCGGATGGGCTCGAATTACGATAAGAGGATTTAGATGAGATGAAAACACCCAGCCGAAAAGGAGGTGGGAGGAGGGAGATTGATGAGGGAGACAATGGGCTTTTATCACTTGTCCATTTAAATACTTGTTCATCTTTCTCTCACAAACATATACTGAGCGCTTCCTGTGTGGCAGGCCATGTACCAGGCACAGGGAGACAGCCGAGAATGAGAGCCAGTCCCTGCCTTCAAACGGGGGGGGTTTG